CATCCGGCGAAGCGAAGCACCGGCGACCGGGAGGGACCAGCCGGTGAACCGCTTCTCACCGATCGCCACGGCTTGAAACAGGGTCGATGGTGTGTTTGCCCAGGTCGGTCAGTCCTGCACCATCCTCCATCCCTCCCAACGAGGCCCCCCAGCCCAGGAGATGGAGAGCCAACTGAGAAATCCTGAAGGACAGAAGCGAAAGCGCCTTTATAAATCTCAGAGCGAGTGCCCGAGCAAACGAGAAACGCAAACCTCTGTGGTCGATTGTGGTGCCAACCTCGTTGGCTAATTTTCCTCCGAAAGAATGGGGAAATACTTACCTCTATACCACCTAATCTTACGAGTTGAGTGTCCAAACTCATTCCTACCAACCAGAAACAAAATGGTTGTTCCAACATGTTCCAATATGACAATAATTATGACATAGTATGACCCTTAGTGGTTTCTGAGAAAACCTCCATTGACTTTCTGTTTGGGACAGGGTGAAACCAGCTCTACACTCATGCTGCCTCGATTTCAAAGCCGACCGAGTTCGCCACTCCTTGTCGCCAGACCTTGGTTTCCGCATCCATGTCCTCCACCTCCGGAAAGGGCTGCTGGCATGGGGAGTGCGAAGGGGTGGACGCCCCCCGATCAATCGATAAAACTTGGGTCAGGGTGTGGAAGTGTATGGGTGTAATAGGGTCTACATCGGATAGGATAGGGGCATGGTTCTTGCTTGGAAGAGATTGACTCTAGCCGACTCTAGCCCGGCAGCGGTGAACTAAGCATGGACTCTCTCTCTCTCTCTGTCTCTGTGGTAAGAACGTCCAATCTAAATGGTCGAAGCAAAACCGGCAGGTCCAGGCCACATGGGGGCGGAGAATGACCAGGAAACTTGGACTCCCTCAGGTTTTTTGGAAAAAAACGTTAGACTGCGTTTTCTACATGTATACAGTCGGGAAGCCAATCCCTAAAAACATTAAAGCTTATCCACAAGCTAAAACAGAAACCCTTGTAACGAAGTGCTTTCAAATGCGTTCAGTACACCGGGCCGGGTATTGTGGAGAAAGGCATGACAAAGCCGATGGCTGCCATGGGAGCATCTGCGGCGGCTTGTGCCGTTCCGTTCGCACCGCCGGACGTCCAACCGATTGTCCTAAGAATCGCTGCATAGGCATGGCAATAGGCATAGCTCATGTGCACTCCGCGACAGGACACTCGTAGTAGCCAAAGATGGGAAGAGAAGTTATATAGTAGAAAACCAAAATGTCAAATTACTCCAGCTCTCTTTAAGCGTGTCACTAGTGACTATATATACTATATGTCCGCAGCAGGATCACCTTCGGTGAAAAAAAACAAACACTATCACTACGCTCGCCACTACACTCGCCTTCTGTCCGGCCGCCAGCTTCGAGTCGAAACCAGCAGGGCCTCGGAGTAATCCGTTCAAAACCACCGGTGAATCCGTGTTTGCGGAAGAGGCGCCAGAGATCTGATAGCATCACTGATGGCGGGTAGGGTGTCCTGAAGAGAACCCAAAAAGGGAAACGGATTTGAGTTTGGAGCTTCTTGGGAGTTCCCGTCCAGCGTCTCACCGTCTCACTTTTCCAGGTGCTCAGTTCTGAAAAACCAAGCAGCCCCTCTGTCATCGACCGCTGGGTGAGGATGCGTCATGTTCTCCTACCTGCTTACAGTTATTAAAAAAACCAAAAGAAAAGGGCCGCCCCGAAAAAGGCACTCCGGCACCTTTCTGTGGAAGTACACCTCCGTTCGACCCCCCGAAAAGGAGGCAACTCCCACTTGCAAGCACCCGTTGCCCCCGGAACGTCGCGTCCGATCGCTCCTAGTAGCGACGCCCTTCACTCCTACTCCCCTAAGATCCGGTCTTCTCCAGCCATCCCGACGATCCAGTGAGACGTCCCGATGCGTTTCATCCCAAGGCGCGCTTGGTCATCCCACGCACAATGAGGCTGACCTGAGACCGGTCGGAGCTCGAATGGACGAACCAACGTACCGCACGGTTCGTAGCCTTATGGACCGTACCTGACGGCACCAATACAGCTATGTCAGTATGTCACAGTTGACTAACTCAGTTTTTTCTTCGATCTCTGCCAACTACTTAGCTACTGGTCTTCCTCGGTCTGCCGTCTGCGCCCGGCGCCGGCCGGCGCCCCGGCCGATACCAAGTAGATGACTCCGTAGCATCCCAAGACCATCCACCTGAGTCTCCAAGCCGAGAAGGTCTCGACCACTGCGCGACCGTAGCTTACGACGATGGGAAACAAAAGCTGATTGGCCCGGGAGAGGAGGTGTGGCTGATTTGGAGCCGCCTCTGGTGCGCCCTGGTTTCAAAAGAAATGAGCATTCGCAGCACCAAACATGTGGCAGATCCGAGCATTCATAGCCATCACCCTGAACCTGAGATGCAAACTCCGATCGGATCATCGCTTCTTCTGCCTCACCCAGGCAGTGAGTGCTGAAAATTCATCACGCAAATGGCTAATCATCCGAATCCAATGGTTGCCCCAAACTGCTTGCAGCAACGCATATTCCAATGAAAACTGGACGTGTTTTTCCATGTGTGCTTTTTCTTGTTGTTTTCCGCTTCTGCCCTGAGGCTCCGTCGAGCATCCCTAAAGATTTCCTGGGGTGATGCGCTGACTCCTTCAGCCTCGGACAAGCGCCAGCAACGTAGCCCGACCTTTTCGATGTTTCCTTCTCCCATCTTCCAAATTCAGCAGGTTCGCTGCCATTGCTGGGACTGAATTCAAGTTGATCGCTCCCTCCTGACAGCTTTGGCACCTCAGCTTCTTGGCTCAGCTTCCGACACCTCAGCTTCCTGGCTCAGCTGGCGCTTTCCGGCGCTTCTTCCGACCATCAAGGACTCGACGAGATCCCAACAGACCCCATGCGTACCGATGAGCTTCGTGCGCACCAAGCAAAGGCGGAAGACTTCCGGAAGAGCAGAGGACATGGCGAAACAGACCCCATCTCCCACACGACTGCATCGTCCTATGGTCCTGGCGAGTAGATGGCGAGGGCACGAGGCTTGGGGTTGTGCCATCGGCCATCTACACATTCTGCATTAGCTTGCTTCTACAGCATTCCCTGCTTCCCCGACCTTCGTTGAGGCATCCGTTTCTCGGCGATTGAGCGACAAGGACCTCGGCCGGCTCCCGGATCAAGCCGGGAGCAGTGGAAGAAGGTGAAGCTCTACTCAGGTCAAAAATTTGGTGCCAATTCTTGTCTACAGGGGCTGCTTGGATGCTGTGAACGGATGTTCAAGGATCTCCACAAATCTATGACTCAAAGGGCTGTGAGACTCTGAAAGCTCTCACCCGCACTGGGTCAACATGAGACGTTTTCCTGTGCCACGTCAGATTTTTTGGGATCTTCGCAAGTTATCCCCATTTTGGGGGGTTGGGGAGGAGTTCAATGAAAAAACATCGAGTATATGATAAGAGTGCTATGGGCCGGTATAATGTAGCACCGTGCAAGTTGTTTGCCACCTTCTCAGCCAGACCCTCCAGACCCTCCAGGCAGCCCCCACGTCTGCAAAAGCCGAACGTCCAGTACGTCTTCCTGTCGAATGCCGTCTTCGAACAAGCACTTCGATTTTTCGGTTGCTTCCCCACCTCCACTCGATGGAAAAGGACATGTCAAGGATTCCCATCCGAAATCCGTACAACTCCAAACAGAAGTCCGAAGTCAAACCAAACCCAATACTCATCATGCGCTATATAAGTGCAGTTCGACTATCTTTGGCACCACCGACGTCAAGGACATTCCTAGAATCGGGCCATCCAATCGAATCTAGATAGTCCAACCAGTTCCAGCCACTAGACTCTTCAAGACAGTGATGCAAGTCCTCAGTGGAAATCCTAGAAAAGTCATTATGGTCATCTGGGTCAAAAAGAAATGTTTCAAGCAGAGCCCTGGCGACCTTGGCGACGGCCTCCAACGCCGTGCCCGCGCGCCCGCGCGCCCGCGCGCCCGCGCCCACACGCCTCGCAGGCACCTCAGGTCCGGTCCCCGGGACGCGGACGGAGAACGGCGGTCCGACCGGTGACAAGCGAGGTCCAACGCCCCAGACCTGAAAAACATCTTCGGCTCGGCCGCGCCCAGGCGCGCCCACTCAGGCTGCGGCTCAGGTCCTGGGCCTGGGCGTGCAAGCGGCTTCGGTTTCGGCCCCGGCTTCGGACGCGCCAAGAGAGGCGAAGGACGACTGAGGAGCCTCACCACAGCTGAGCGCCACAGCGCCAGCAGTGCCCAAGCGAAGATATGAAAACGAAGAGCCATTTGGACCTGCCAGCGGCGCGAGCCTGGAGATCAAAAGCCTCATCCCTCCACTGGATGGGAAGACAATGGAGAAAGAGAGATCGAGGACGATGAGGAAAAGACTCGTCACGCAGTGCTCATGTCACGTGGACTCTGGATGCTTTGCCGGAGCCATTGAAGCTCGGCTCCGGCCCCTTGACTTGCACCACCTGGACCCCCAAGCAGCGCGAGTCTCCGGTGTGAAGTTCCCTCAACAGCCTCGGACTCTCTTCAGCAAAGGTTCGATGAAGGCCCACGGCGTATCCCGTGAACAGAGCGCGGGGGCGGGTCGCTTCGAGAGGTTTTCGACTGCCCCACCCCCGTGCCTGAGCCAAGCAGTAGGAAATAGATGGAAATCGTAGGAACTTAGAACTCACATCAAACACCAACTCAAGAAGCCACGCAACATGCATTTTTAGCGTGACCTCTGATAACTTGGATGTTGAGCTCTTGTTGATGCGTCATGGGATTCAACAGAACAGGGGTCGGAACTCTTCAGGCCACACGTTCCCTTTCACACTTTTCAATGTTCAAAGTCCCTCACATCACACACGCACACTTTCCCTTTCGGAGGCTTTCCCCTTCGCTCATGGCATCTCAGGGTGGAGGTTTTTTTGGCAAATGTCCTGAAAATCAGCAGCAGTCGACCCCGGCAATTTCCAGTGCCTTTAGTGATCTTTAGTGCGCTATAGAGTTCAGTTCCCAAACCAAGCACGGCGGACATCAACCACCTGCTCACGCTCTGAGGGGCTGGCCAAAAACAGCATCTCATTCGAGGACTGTGCCAGAAAGCATTGCCGCAAGGGCTTGCTTGCTGCAAAAGAGTCAGATACACAACATCGATGCTATTGTTCACAGGTGATGAAGCCAGCTTCCAGGCGAAATGTTCACCACACTGCCTTCATGGACGTGAACTGGCTTGTTAATGGCACACGGCCTTCGCGAAATCAGCTCCTTCACCCGTTCAAGGCAGCAAGTCTTGGCATGGCCTACTTGAGAAGCAGCCCCGGACATGAACAGTCAAACGAAACAAGATGGAGCCCACGAACCCGAATGCAAACACGTTCCAAAAGCTACATATGTCCAAATGACACTCTTGTAGGACACTCTTGTGGGACACTCTTGTGGGACACTCTTGTGGGGCACTCTTGTGGGGCACTCTTGTGGCACACTGTTGTAGGAAACTCTTGTAGGACACACTCTTGTAGGACACACTCTTGTGGGACACTGTTGCGGGACACTCTTGCGGGACACTCCTAAGGGACACTCTTGTGAGACACTCTTGCGGGACACTGTTGCGGGACACTCTTGTGGGACATGTGGGACACTCATTTGGGACACTCTTGTGGGACACTCTTGTGGGACACTCTTGCAGGACACTCTTGTGGTACACTCTTGTGGGACACTCCTGTGGGACACTCTTGTGGGACACTCTTGTGGGACACTCTTGTGGGACACTCATTTGGGACACTCTTGCGGGACACTCTTGTGGGACACTCTTGTGGGACACTCTTAAGGGACACTCTTGTGAGACACTCTTGCGGGACACTGTTGCGGGACACTCTTGTGGGACACTCCTGTGGGACGTCCTGGCACACTCTTGCGGGACACTCTTGTGGGACACTCTTGTAGGACACTCTTGTGGGACACTCTTGTGGGACACTCTTATAGGACACCCTTGTGGGACAGTCTTGTAGGACACTCTTGTAGGACACTCTTGTGGGACACTCTTGTGGGACACTCTTGTGGGACACTCTTGTGGGACACTCTTGTGGGACACTCTTGTAGGAAACTCTTGTGGGACACTCTTGTAGGACACTCTTGTGGGACACTCTTGTAGGGCACTCTTTTGGGACACTCTTGTGGGACACTCTTGTAGGAAACTCTTGTGGGACACTCTTGTGACACACTCGTGTAGGACACTCTTGTGGGATACTCTTGTGGGACACTCTTGTGGGACACACTCTTGTGGGACACTGTTGCGGGACACTCTTGCGGGACACTCTTAAGGGACACTCTTGCGGGACACTCTTGCGGGACACTCTTGTGGGACACTCCTGTGGGACACTCATTTGGGACACTCTTGCGGGACACTCTTGTGGGACACTCTTGTAGGACACTCTTGTGGGACACTCTTGGGGACACTCTTTTAGGACACTCTTGTGGGACACTCTTAACTCTTGTGAGTCACTCTTGTGGGACATGGTTGCGGGACACTCTTGTGGGACACTCTTGTGAGACACTCTTACGGGACACTCTTGTAGGACACTCTTGTGGGACACTCTTGTAGGACACTCTTGTGGGACACTCTTACGGGACACTCTTGTTGCACACTCTTCTAGGACACTCTTGTGGGTCACTCTTGTGGGACACTCTTGTCGGACACTCTTGTGGGACACCCTTGTGGGACACTCTTGTGGGACACTCTTGTGGGACACTCATACGGGACACTCTTGTGGGACACTCTTGTGGGACACTCTTGTGGGACATGCGGGACACTCTTGTGGGACACTCTTGTGGGACACTCATGGGGGACACTCTTGTGGGACACTCTTGTGGGACACTCTTGTAGGACACTCTTGTGTTGTGGGACACTCTTGTGGGACACTCTTGTGGGGCACTGTTGTAGGAAGCTCTTGTGGGACACTCTTGTAGGACACTCTGAGCGTTTCGTACGAGACTTCCTCCAAAAGTCACACGCCAAGTCTCCAAAACGAGCGTTTCGTACGAGACTTCCTCAAAAACTCACATGTCAAAGTCTGCAAACGAACGTTTCGCACGAGACTTCCTCCAAAAGTCCAGCGGAAACACCCATCGGAGCACACACATCACGCAGCCCTGCCAAGCAGTTTCGCGATTCCAGCCCCTCGAAACGACACCCGCTCAAACGCCAATCCCAATGTGACAGCGACATTCACCTCTACCACAACTCACAACCTCCCGATTCCCTGCACCGGCCACGAATCTTTCCGCGTCCACACGTCTAACGCGCACAAAGTACTGCACCTGCCACGAAATGTCACCTCCGTCACACATCGCAACCTCACGATTCCCTGCGCCTGCCACGAAAATCCCACTTCCACACCTCAAAGCCCGCACAAAGTCCTGCGCCTGCCACGAAAAGTAACAATGTCATCTCATGTGAGCTTCAACAAAATTCGAACCACACCACACGTTTGGAATGATTTCGACCCGTTCTGAGCGCACTCCCATCCACCAAAATCGGCATTTCAGCTGAGACATGTCACACGAAAACAGAGCTTCGATGCCACACCCTGAAACGCAAATCCCAATGGCACGGCCACATGCAACACCCCAAAAACACGACTCTCCAAACGCTAATCCCGATGGAACTGCGTAGCAAACTGCGGATCTCACAAAACGCTGCGCCTGTGCAGCGAAATGCATCACGCTTCTTGCGCGACATGTCATTTTCACGCAAATCACAATGGACTCGCGTCGCAAACTAACACGTGACACATCCATGAATAGTCACTTGCAAAAGCTTCCCCCAATGGCAGCGCCTTAGCGCTCTACCGCGAACGGTTGCGGACGGTTGCGGACGGTTGCGAACATAGAAACAACGGGTCGCGAACAAGGCTCTACCCCCAGACCCCCAAAGAGTTAAACGAGAACCCTTCGCTACGCATTCGGGAAAAAAATGCTTGGCTCTGGGTCGCACATCTCTCTAGCCCTTCAAGTCCATGAAGAATGAGTACTAATTACTAATTTGGTTGCCTGGTGGGAAAGCGGCGGTGAGATGTTGACAGTAAGAAGGAATGTAACATGGTTGCCATTTTGTCGGCGTTCCAGAAGTTCCTGCTCGTGCGCAGTTCTTCAGGTCACTTCTTGCTCTTGTCCTTGCCTGCGTTGTCTACTCTAGACCTTGACAGCGTCCGAGATTGCACACTCACCATGCCCCAACTCGAAAACAAAAGAGGTATAGCAAGGCTGCCGGCTCGCGGGATCAGAATCCTCGCGGTTGGAATGACGTGGCAAGCCATGCTCTGCTTGTGCACGCCGTACGAGGCGCGCGCATGTCAAGCAAAAGTTTACATTCCAGGGTGGGACAGTGCCTCTGTTTAGGCAAGCCTGTCGTGCAAGTGAAAAACAGCACTAAGGGCTATCACTGATGTAAGCGTATTGAAACCAAATTCGCAGCTTAGATGCGGTAAGACTTTGAGAGGCATGACTTGAAAAGGCGGATCAGTTATTAGATGTTATTAGAGTCACAAACAAGCCCATCTCTGACCCTTGCTTCAATCTGAATTAGGCCATATTACTCTTGTGCTATGCCTCGAAGGGAGGCCTTTCGCAATGGCATGACCAAGCAGCCACGGTCGGACCGAGCCAACTGCATGAGTGCCCTGGTGCGGTTGTCACAGCCACCCACCCTGAACTCAAACGGGTCGCGCACTCAACCCGATGTCACGCGGCGGCTCTGCGTAGGATCCGCCTCAGAGCACCCCAACTGGTCCATGTCCATGTAGAACCAAGAGAGGTTAAGTGACCTGAACTAGGACCCTACTGGGGTACCTATGGGATAGTCTACAGGGTCCTTCAACCTTTGTTGGAATTCCCATGAAAAAAAACAGGTCGTAACCTCCAGACTTCCATCGCGCGCTCATTCGCCCATGCGTTTGACCTCCAGTTCTTCTGGCCGCTTCGTGCGTCGCCGCGCGTGAGGGTCCTCCCATTTGCAAAAAACAACGCCATCCAAAAAATGGTTCCTGGCTCGGCCTTTCGCGCTCCTGGTGCGACCAGGGTCCTCCCCCGACCCCTTCGTCCGAGCTGGCGCGGCAGCGGCGGACGGCACGCGGCGTGGCATCCAGGGCGCACTTCGGCGACCCCGTGCAGAATGGGCACCGCTCTTGGTCATCCCCATCTGGGCAGGTCGCGGGTGATGTGGTTTTTTGTGGTGGGGGGGGAGGCGTAAGCTCGTCGACCGGTCTCAAATTAGGTCTCTAATTTCATCAAGGCTTTGAGCTGGGTATAGCTGGGTTATATACATAACTTTCAGGTGTCCATTAACAATCCAAAGGCAGATCAGCACTTTCACATGCTGCCGCCACCCCGTGCTGGCCGTGTTCCCGCACATGTTCCCGCACCTGCATCTTGCTGGCCGTCAGCAGGGGATTCGGCTTTTTGGATGCAATGGAATGGTGACCTGTAGGCGATGACTGAATTCGCAAGCACATCAAAAGCCATACCCAGGCTGTTGCAGAAGAAAAGACTAAAGAGCCTCCCCAAAATAAAATAAAAGATAGAAATCCTTCGAATCCCATCCCTTCACCTGAAAACACCGTCCGTGAGGTGGCCAACGCCTGAAGCCCCATGGAGTCGGCTCCACAGCCTCGGCGCTCGGGGGTTCCAGCGCCAGCTGAAAGCCGCGGGGTGGGCGGAAGATCTTTGATCAAAACAACCCTGGAGAGGTTTTTCCAGGTCGGTTGAAACAGATTTTAACAAGTTTAAAGTCATTATAAGTTATATATCTCTATATGCTTTGTTATTTCAATGATTTTCTATATACCTTTCGTATATACGTTTTATGAGTTATATGTATCCCTACCAGCGATAGCTTGGGGTTGTACATTCTTTCGGCGGCTCGGATAGCGCGCCGTCGGATCCACGGCCGGCGGCGGGGGACACCGGCGTCTCGGTCATGGTTGGTGTCTCGGTACATCTGGTTGCATCGTTTTTGGCACGTCTGTGGCTTGCACGTCTATTATGGTACATCTATGTTGGTGAACTATGGGATGGCATTTCAAGTTGTGCTTTTTGTTTTTTGCAAGTTGTGCTCCACCCATTCCATATGTGGAGAAAATCATCGAACAACGCAGACCCAAAACATGAAGCCAGATCTTGGTGGATGCTTTGCTGTTGAGGTTGTCAGCTGGGCTGGTTTAGTCTTTATCTCTGGCCTCTGAAAAATGTTTCTGTGAGTTCGCACGCCGTCGAACTTGAAGTTGAACTTGAACATAGGATGTTCGCACCGCAGGGCGGGCTTAGCATGCCAAAAGGGGCGTACGGCCGTTGTCGCTTCGGCGACTCATTTCGCATTTCGTGGTTGGTCTTCGTTTTCCTCCACGCTACACGTAGTTCTTCGGACACTACCTCTGTTTTGACATTGGTAGCGGAGCCCGAGCCCTTCCAGGGCGAGGGCTCCCGCTGCGGACTTCGCTTGCGCGAGCTAAGCGTTCTGGACAAGACCTTGGTCACCTACCCTCTGCCGAGTTTGCTTCGCTCCTCGCACCCGACCTCTTTGAACAACACCCTTGGGAAAGGAGCTACAGCGTGTTCTTTGACCTCATCGATGTCACAGAAGAAAGGTCAGCAAAAGGGAAAGGCCCAGGGCTCCGGAACGAGCTCGACTGAGGACACCTCCTACACTGATGTCCGCGACAGCTATGTGCCACTGTCGTGAATGGCGCCAGCGTGTGCAGCTCTACTACCGGAAGATGACGCTGGCAAAGAAGGCGAGGGGGTCCTCAACATCGTTGGGAGCTTCAAGGGGGTGGTCTGGCGTTTGTTCGAGGATTGGCCTTTGGACCACTTCGACAAGGACGATGCCTTTGAGACCATCTTGAAGATTCTGGACAGCAACTTCTCGTATGATCAACGAGTCCAGCTTCCTTCGGACTTTGAAGGATACAATCTCCTGACCTATGTCAAAGACCATGAGGAGGCCTACAGGAAGCTCCTACAACATAAAGTATCCCTTCCTGACTCCGTTCAAGGATGGCACTTGCTGCGCCGTGCTGCTCTGACGAAGGAACAACGACAGCTGATCACATTGAAGGCACCCACATTGGAGAAAGCCGCGATCATCGAGGCGCTCTACCTCATTTTTGGTCAAGACTACAAAGCCGGAGGCTGGAATCACGATCGCAACAAGCGCTTCCAGAGGTGGGGCAACAGCAGTCGGGCCTATGCAGCACAAGATGAATGGTGGGAAGGTGAAGACTCCGGTTGGGAAGATGAGACCGGCTACTATGAAGGTGATGAACAGGTAGCCGACTATGACTACGACTATGAGGAGGAGGAGTTCGATGCCGATGCTGCCTACTATGGTGAGGAACCCTGGCCAGATGAAAATGGTGAGACTGGCAGCCCTGAACGTCTCGCCGATGAGTATGACACGGCATTCGCCTCCTACACCGATGCCAAACGAAGATTCAACGAGTTGAAGATGGCTCGAGGTTTTCTGCCGGTTGTGGCCTTGGCGGGCTGTCATGGCCAACACTTCGTCCTCATCGAGCCCTTCGCACTGGCAGAAGAAATGGAAAGGAAAAGGCGGCAAGTCGAAAGGAAAACCAAGTGCCACCATCCGATACCCTCCACAAGGAGCTGGGAAAAGTGATCCTAAGGGCAGAGCCAAAGCCAACATGACCTGTCTCAGGTGTGGACAACAAGGCCACTGGGCAGCCAACTGTCCTCAAAGCGCCTCAAAAGGCTCTGGTGTTAAGCGCCCAGCCCCCACTGAGGGCATGGCACAAGTCAAGGAAGAGGAGCAGGGCATGATCATCTTCGAGGACCAAAATGGACATCAACGCCCTGACTGTGTCATGTTGGACCCTGGAGCAAGCGCTTTTCTGGCTGGCTATGGTCCCTTCCGCCGATTCCTGCAACACCTGAAGGATGACTGCCAATTCCCGATCGACAAGATCAAGATGACTCGTGGCAGACGCCGTTTCCAGTTCGGTGGAGATGCAGCTTCATGGTCAACTTGGAGCGCTCACCTTCCAGTGTTTTTGGATGGTCGATATGGCACCGTGCAACTGTTCTTGCTTCCAGGACACACACCAATGCTCTATGGGGATGACCATGGACTTTGCTCTTCGCAGGGTTCGCTTCGGCTCTGGTGGTTGGCGACAAGCCACACTTGGTCGACAGGGTGAGTACCTCCTGTCACTCACTGACAAGCACTCCCTCATTGAGTATGACCCGGATCAACCAGAGTACTGCCTTAAGACCGCAGAAGCCGATCTGGATCAGGAGGAGGACGTTCCACTGTCAGAGTTCGAGAAGGAAGAATGCGGGTTCTGCGTCAATGATCCTGAAGCAGCTCAGCACCATGCGCACACCAAGGCACTCCGACGGCATGATCTCAGAACCATGGACATCCACCTGAACACCCATTTGAATGAGCTCTCAGCCTACGTCACCAAGCACCTTCATCCAGCGGAACCTCGACGGAAGCTCTGGGAGGTGTACTGTGGCGCTTCTCGCACTTCACAGGTGGCGGAAACTCTCGGCATGGAAGTGCGAAAGTTCTCCTATGAGACCGGCTGGGATTTCAACAAGCTGGATCACCAGCGTGCCTTTCTTGAACTACAAGATGAAGAATGTCCTGACGAAGTTCTCCTGGCACCTGAGTGCAAACTCTGGAGCAAGATGCAATCCCTTGGAAGACGCACCCCGGCTCAACAGGAAGCCCTTCGTGCTGCTCGACAACACCATCATGACCGTCACCTGATGTTTGTCCGGAGAGCATACCTTGGTCAAGTGCACAATGGCCGCCACGGACACATCGAACAGCCCAAGCGCGCACTCTCCTGGCGCACTCGTGCCTTCAGGGATTTGCCAGGTCGTCGAGCAGACTTTGATCAATGCCGCTATGGAGCAACCTGTCTGGACACCGATGGACAATGGAGGCCAGTCAAGAAAAGCACCTCACTGCTCACCACCAAGCAGGCTATCCAAGACGTCATGACCCTCCAGTGTCAAGGCGATCACCAACATTGTGCCCTAGAAGGACATGCCATTGGCTTTGGATCTCGCACCAAGTACCTGGAGGAGTACCAACCGGCACTCGCCGCCACCCTGGCAGGCGCAATGGCCGTCGAAGAAGTTCCACAGGCTTGGGAAACTGGCTACATGACTGCAGAGCAGAAGATCGTGACGGGCAACTTGATCCGACTTCGCACCACCGTCAAACAGGATGCCATTAGGACGGTTCAACGACTTCATCGCAACCTTGGTCATCCTGGGCCCACTGAACTTGCCGAGCTGCTTGCGACAAGAGGAGCCAGTGAGGCGGTGATCGAAGCAGCCCGCAACTATGTTTGCTCTGCCTGTGCGAAATACAAGAAGCCTGGAGATGCTGCACCTGCATCTATGCCACAGACTGCCACTTTCAACCAGATCCTTCAAGCCGATGTCTTTTGGATTCGGATGGGCAAGGACAAGTACCCGATCCTCAGCGTGGTTGACATGGCAACCAGGTACACCTCAGCTCACCTGCTGCGGAATGAGCAATCTGAGGAGTACATCAAGGCTTTGGAGCGCTGTTGGCTTTCCACCTTCGGGCCACCACAACGCCTCATCACTGACGAAGGTCGCCCGTGGCTAAGTCGCACTTTTGAGGAATGGAGTTCTGCATGAGCGTTTGGCCGTCGTCGAACGACGACATGCACTGTTGCGCAAGGCAGTGGAGATCTACTGTTCTGACCAACACCTCAACAACGCCAAGGGCATCAAAGAAGCCTTGATCTACTGTGTCCCTCAGCTCAACGGCAGCAATACAGTGGCCGGCTTCTCACCCGCACAATGGGTACTGGGCTATCAACCTCAGTTGGCTGGCAGCCTTCTCGCGGACACCTTCAAGCCAGTCCACTTTGGCGGCCACGAGGACTTCGAACTGACCCTGGCTCGCCGCAGTGCCGCTCAAAAGGCCATGATCGAGGCCGATGCTGACAAGAGACTCCGACGGGCACTCGGGGCAAAATACAAGGGCCTCAACTCTGAGTACAACCTTGGACAACAGGTTTGGTTCTGGAGAGATGCACCTCAACCCGACTTGGTGAAAATCAGATGGCTGGGTCCAGCACATGTCGTCATGAAGGAGCACAAGAAAGATGGTGAAGGCCAAGATCGAGTCCATGTCTACTGGCTGGCCTATAAGACTCAGCTCATCAGATGTGCACCTCACCATGTCAGAGCTGACATCAAGGGCTCTCAACATGCCTTGGATAATGTACAGGCAGCACTCACCACCGTGCGTCAGCTCAAGTCCCGAGGTGTCACTCGATACTACGACCTTCACCAGCTCAACAAGAACAACCTGGTGGACGTGGACAGTGATGCTCACATGGATGATCCTGCAGGAGACCTCATTGAAGAAGACTCAGATCACGAGCTGGCACCTCCCCACAGGCCTCGCCTTCTGCCACCTGGTGCTGAGGTCAACCCAGAGGCACCCCGAAGAGCGATGCCGACCGCTGATCCACAGGAATCGCAAGAGCTGCCCATGGTCGACTTGGAGGATTACACTCCGACATCCCGTGCCGATGGAAGTCCACAAGCTTCAGCACCCAATCCCTTTGAGATGATGCCAGCTGCACCAGACACTCCACAGCCGGTAGGACCGGCGGCTCCACCGTTTTTGCCACGGGTACCGAGCAGCATTGCATCCATCTCTGAACCCAGTGAAGAGCCACCGGCTCAAACAGCACCACAAACACCAGCGGACTTCCTTCACAGCTCGGGTCAACAAGGAGCGGTTCCGCCCACAACACCGGCTCTGGACTCCATCACTGCCGAGCTCTATGAACCTGCCGCTGGAGAGAGCTTCGAACAGAGACGTCTCCGATTGAACCGACAGGAGACAATCAGCTTTGCACCTCTCCGACATCGCACTAGGACTGAGGTGACGCCATATCCAGTGCCCGAGACGGCTCCAGCTGCACCGTCCACTGATGATCTTGCAGGTCAGGCCTTTCATGTGGACGACATTGATACGAAGATGATCCCTGCTGGTTGGACGATGGATGAGCATGGATATCTGCAGCTTACTGATCGGGCCACAGACTTCTGGGAGATCCGTGCCGGCTGCTTGATTCGGCATCATGTTGTACCACGACGTGGACGTCTTCACATCGACCACCTGCCGAAGGACTGCCCTATCGAACATGACCAGCTGGATAGAGTGAGAGTCACTGTGGTGCACCAGGTCAATGGGAAGAGCCGACTTCACACCGATGCCGGGATAGACAGTTCTCCACCTCCTGAAGTCTCTACATCTTGGACGGGCGCCACCATCTTCCAGATCAATGGTTCCACCAGAAAAGAGATGGCGATGTACAGTGGCCAAGGGCGGCAGCACTACACGAGTGCGAAACAGCAGGGCAAAGAACAGAAGTTGGCACGCCAGAAGAAGTTCAAGAAAGACAAGAATGGCGTGAATGAACGACTCCTTGGACCACACGAAAGGGCCATGCTCAAAGAAGCCAAGGTGAAGGAGTTGAATAGCTTCTTCGACCACCAAGGAGGCCGACCCTGCACGCACCCTGACCAGCCGCATCCTCTTGAAGTGGTCCAAGAACCCTGATGGGTCACCTCGGGCGAAGGCCCGCCTGATCGTCAGAGGATTTGCCGACCCTGATGCCCTAGCTGGACAAGTGGAAACATCCAGTCCGACTACAACCAGGCTGTCGAGGTCTGTGGTGCTCTCCCTGGCCGCCACCATGAAGTGGCGATTGTGGACCGCAGACGTCAGCACAGCTTTCCAAGACAGGAAACTCTGGGTCAAGCTTCCAGCTGAAGCGTTGGCACTTCTCGGAGGAGACGAAAACACGAAGATGCTGCTCTTGAAGCCGTGCTATGGACAAATCGATGCACCACGAGGCTGGTATCTGGAGGCAGTTGACCGCCTTCGGAAACTGGGTCCACGACAGCATGCCCTTGACCCCTGCGCGTTCCTGATCTATGAGGTGGATGATGAGCACTACCAGAAGGACACCGCAGGGCAAGAGAAAACCAGCCACTTGGGTCCACAAGAATTGGTTGGCATGATCATCATGCACGTCGATGATTTGTTGGGTGCTGGCTGTCCATCGAGTCCGAGGTACAATGCAGTGAAACAACAACTTCAGGAGCATTTCTCATTTCGAGAATGGAAAGAATAAGAACCAATCCTGGAGTATTGTGGCTGCGAAATCGAGAAGACAGAGTCTGGCGGTCGCAAGCTTCACCAGGCCAAGTACCTCGAGGGAGGCACACATGAAAGTCTGCATGAGAGAGAGGTCACCCAACTACGTGGCCTACTTGGAAGTTTGCAATGGCCAGCGGTTCAGACTTCACCGCATCTGCAGTGCAGCACTTCTCAACTTGCTGCCCATGTGAACTATGGAACGGTGCAAACGTTGGCCGACTGCAACCGGCTACTGAAGTTCGCAAAAGAACACAAAGATGCAGGCCTGTGCTACAATCACTTGGGCCCTGCAGAACAGCTGAGGCTGGTGTGTTTCTTCGACGCCGGCTTCTCCTCTCGAGCAGACGGAACGTCCCAAGGTGGATACATTGTGATGTTCATCAACGAGCAACTCATGAGCTCTTCGGAGGAAGGGGACTATCATGTGGTCGACTGGCGATCCTTCAAAACTCCGAGGGTGTCGCGCTCTTCGTTGGGGGCCGAGGCTCAGGCTGGCGGACAAGCCAGCGATGCAATGGATTTCATCTGCAGGTACTGGCATCACCTTCTTGAACCAGACCTTCCACTGCGAGACCTCCTCAAGGTCACTTCGACACTGAGGCCAGTGCTGATCACGGACGCGAAAGCGCTCTACGACTCCTACCACAGGGAGGGGACCACGTCTTCCGTGGTTGACAGAAGAATCTCAGTCGAGATTCGAGTGATGAAGGAGCGGCTGCAAGAACTTGGGGGCATTCTGAAGTGGGTAAGCTCTGATCGCCAGATCGCCGACGGGCTCACGAAGGAGGCTGCACGGTCGTTGATGGCCCTGCGCATCAAGCACCACCGCTTGAAGCTGACTTGGGACCCCGAGTACAAGGCCATGAAGAAAAAGACCGTCACTGAGAAGATCACCGCCTTGAAAGAATCAACGGCCACCACTCCCTCTGTGACCTGGCAGCGTGAGGGCCATGGCATGGACAATGAGGAGGTTCCGGAGCCCGATGAGAGAATCCTTGATGAATATGTCAACATGGCAACCACCGAGCATGTGATTCTGTATGTCTTCGCCTCAAGCCATGTCGGCCGCCGCCGCCAGGAGTATAACACACAGTGTCGCATCAAGAATGTCATGGTTTGGGTACTTTGGCTGAAGATGCTGCAGACCTGTGGCGCAGTTGGTGATCAATGTGAAAAGCAGCCACCTCCCTTTGGCAAGGACACCACACCGCTCAATGAGCTAGTGGTCAACGACGACAACTGGTTTCTCCCTGCACTTCTTTTGGTACAAGTGCTTCTTTTTGCAGTCATCTTCCTTTGTGGCTTTGTCAGTGGCCGACGAGGAAGCTCCACATCGTTGCCAACACCATCACCGGCAACTTCAGAGGCTTCAACACAGAAGGACGAAGCGATCGTCCCCTCGCGGCTACGTGAGCAGCTAGTGCTGGAACAACAGCGCAGTTCAGAGTACCGAGATGCGGCACTCGAGGCCAGACGGGCCATTGAGCTCAACTTGGAGGAGCGCAATGCATGGTACAGCGAAAGGCAACACCTCTTCACCATGCTTGGCTCAGCTCAGACACTGCTGCAAAGGTGCGAGAATGGCATCGGATCCCACATGAGTGTCTGTCCCACCACACGACCGGTCATCGCATCCAAGACTGGAGTGGCCTGGCACTATGAGCACTGTCAGACGGCACCTCAGATCAACGAGAGGAACCGCCTGGTGCTGCGTCACTGCTCGTTTTGTGGAGATCCAAGGTCACCACTTGATTTTCCAAATGCCTCACCGTCAGTGGGTGGGGGAAGCTTGCGCACCGATATGCAGGCTTGGTTCTTGGCCTATCAGGCCTTGATTTACTAGCACCATCACCGGTGTGAGTTCGCACGCCGTCGAACTTGAAGTTGAACTTGAACATAGGATGTTCGCACCGCAGGGCGGGCTTAGCATGCCAAAAGGGGCGTACGGCCGTTGTCGCTTCGGCGACTCAATTCGCATTTCGTGGTTGGTCTTCGTTTTCCTCCACGCTACACGTAGTTCTTCGGACATTACCTCTGTTTTGACAGTTTGCTTATTTTGCCCTTGCTGTTGATCTCTTGCTTTACTGATGATGGAAGGATGCCGAAGGCATCCGAAGGCTCGTGGCCGTGGGTGGGGACACGTAGACGTCGAAGTTGGGCACTGTGTTGGCTGCGCAGGCGCAAGTGTTGATCTTACTTGGCGGGCTGCCTGGGTCGGGTAGGTTACAGTAAGTCAAATATTGGTTGGCTCACTGGCCGGTGGCTGGTGAGTGTTGGGGATCTTGGGCCTTGGTGAAGGCACCAAACGGTCACCCTTCCTGAGGCCCATCCAAACCAACCCACCAGCAATGTGTGCCCCACAGCCATCGACCTTCACCTGTCCCAGTAGCTTGGCCGGGTTGTCGTCGTTCCCCGTGTCGCGCATCGTGGCCAAAAGCACCTCGCACCTGGAAGTGTCTTCGAACGGCCATGAACAGGGCGGTGACCGGCTGGTGACCGGCTGGGAGAATGAAGGAGACATAACGATAGATCTGGCAAGATACCCCCCGTTTCACTTCTGATGTTCTGACCGACCGGAGCCTGCCCTCGGCACTTTTTTTGCATCACTCGGCCGACCTTGTCTGTGACCAGTACTGCTTTGCAGCATGTCACTGGCACCCCTTCATGGGTGCCACAAGGGAGCAGGCAGGCCCTAGAGGACACGAATTGGCATTTAGCACCCTCAAAGAAGCCACCCCGCATGACATCGACAGGGTCATGCGGTCATGGGGGGCAAAGGACTTAAGAACATCAATGAAAATCAATGACAAAGTGATCAATTATTTCGTGGAGGCTGCATTCTGGAGGCACATGACAGATCAGAATCCATGATGTTCCATGGGCCAACGAAGAGACCCTTTCCCGATCTTTGAGAGCACATACTGTTTCTCTACTGCTGAGAGCTCGGGGATTGCTCATAAGCGGAGATGGGGGCAGTAGGGCGTCTTGGTCTTGTTCATATGATCGACAAAGAGGCACACATCACAGGACTGTTTCCCAAATTTATCCACTGGCCTGGAGCAAAACGGCACACAACACTTTGGACTGGGGAAAGGCTCGTCAATGACTCAAGCACAAGCCTCCACCATCCCACCCCACCTCTGAAAAATACAAAACCCCCAAGAAGAAGACTTCCGGAAGTGAGGAGACCAACCTTTCTCCAACACAAAAATCCCGACCAAAAGCTCTTTTCAAGACCCCGCAGCCTTTGTGCCGTCTTCCACCTGGAGCCATAGATCTGGTTGCACGTCATGGGCACCACGAAATCCCGCACGGCCGCATGGATCTCCCGCGGGGCACGCTCCAGTGGCGCCAGCGCCGCGCCGCGGGGGTCGTCGAAGGCGCGACTGCCCAGGACGCGGATGGACTCTCGAACGCCTTCCTCCTCGGTCGACGACCGCGCGGGGAACGTGTGCGGAATGAAGCAGGCGGAAGGACGCGACGCACATGCTTCCGAGCACCTACATGCCCACGCAACCAAATATAAGATATGTCTCACACATTCTCACACCACATCCTCCGGCCACAACTCCCACCGATCATTTCTTCTGCCTTTGGAGGCCATTTTCTCCCTCAACTCTCTCTGGCTCGCGCATCCGGAATCCGCCCCAAGGCACGGTGAGCATACACGGCGAGCTCAGCGAGCGGCCCAAGTCCACGGCTTTCGGGGGCGCCAAATCCGCCGCCGATCTGCGGGAGTCCTTCCTCGGGACCCGAGCACCGGGGCAGGGGGAAAGGTCAGGAGGTCCATGGCCAGCCACGGCCGTGCGGTGGGTGGATGTCCATGGCCGTCACGGCGACGGAGTGGGAGGAGGTACCTGTGGCCTAGGTTCCTGGGGGGGCCAGGGGAACTATAGTAGATGGACCAAATATTCAAACCCCTCAGCTGTCAGCAACCCCCGACCCGCAAAGGTCAATGTCGAACACGACTTCGTTGAATTTGTGTTGCCAAGGTTTGTTTCGTCCATTCACCGAGACACTCTGGCAGGCGCGCTCACATTCTGGGGCTTTGGGGCGGAAGGGGTCCAAGCGGTTTGAAAGGTTTGAGTAGTTCGTCCATCTATGGTAGTCACAGTTGATGGCTTGGTGGTTCGAAGATCCATCTGTCCAAAACTGCCACCATGTCCAGGCATGTCCAGGCTTCATGTCATAGCATATTACTGTAAGAGGAAAAGAACAAGGCCAATGCCGGCTCATGATTTCTTGAGCACGGGGGGCCATTGGGGGCCCACCGAGAGGCCTGCGAAAATACGGGGAGCGTTTCTTGGGTCAGAAGACAAGAGGGAGATTACCAGCTCACAGATTGCGAGTTTGTTTCGACTCCTAACGCTGGGGACCACAAAGGAATGCAGTATTAAACAAGAATCTTGAAGACCCAATCCCAATCGCCAGGAGCTTGCCTTTGCGCCCTCAACAGCGCGCCCTTCGCTTTTTCCATGATGAACCGCTGAAACGGCAGCTCTACTATGCTTGAAGCCAAAAACGCATCACCCGGCAAATATGCTGTGCAGTTCGACTCTCCGTCTCAAACGGTATAGTTGTTTCACCTATCGCATCACTAAGCCGAGGTGAGTCTGCGGATCTCGGCGAGTCTCCGGATCCAGCGCTGCAGACTCCTTTAGGAAGCATCTCACTCAAAGCATCTCGAGTCCTTCAGGAACCTCCGACCTGCCAGAAAGCCCACACCTCAGCACGGCACCTCTCTTGATGGAGCTGCGCCACTTTGGCCAAGACCTCCCGAGCCGCTGCGGCCACCTGAAGGGCATGCCGGACGACCCAACCAAGCAGACCCCACGAACCAAAGAGCCCCACGAGCTAATGCAAACGCTTGATAGTCACACCCATACTGGAACTGCTCGACCATGCTGTGCTGGTTCTGAACTTACATGAGGGGAGTTGATATACATCCAGAGTGAAACATAGCTTGACCAGCTCAGATGTACTCCAGAGCTCAGGCCGTCTGGCTGCGCCACCGGAAAATCTTCCATTTCATGTGAAACACACCACATGCCTTACTCATGGACCCCATCCAGGCGAACAGATTCACCATCAGCCAGCCCCCGAAAACAGCCATGTTATAAATCCAGCAGGGCAGGTGAGCGCCTTGACCATCCCACACCGTCTCTTCCCATCCGCCGCCCCCCTGGTGCGGGCGGGTCTGACCGCCCGCCCCACCGCCTTCGTGGGAAGCTTTTGGAAGTTCTCCCCGACGGACTCGAAGACTTCGCAGCCCTTGGACCCTGAAACGACCGAAGGCAGGAACCGGACGTCGGACGTGGTTGAAGCCAACGGAAGGCCCAAGCCTTGGGCGGAGAAATAGGTCCAGGTTTAGAGATTTTAGAGGGATGTTCAAGCGTTTCATCCAAGGCTTGGCTGCAAACCAGTTCGGAAAAAACACGGAAAGCGGCGCAGCACCTTTTTGCGCGGCAGGGTAGCCAGAGCAGGTGTCGGCATGCCGGTGCCCGTGTGTAGCGGCGTTGCGCAGGCGCTGGGCAGTTTGTACAGAGGTTACCGCGGCGGAATTGGTCAGGTGCTTCTGCGAGAATGTCCTGGCGCACAATGCGAATTGGTACGGAAGGGGTTTGTTCTTCACCAGCAGGAAAGACATGGCATGGAAGATGGAACAAATGATAGCAGCTAGGAACACGATCGCTGGGCACAGCCCAGAAAGTTCATGGTCATGCATGGAGTGGACGAACATGTATGTAGTACGTGGAACTTTGCTCCATCGTCGGCATGGTCCCACTAAGGGCCACCAACCCATCATGAGAATCTGAAAAAAAACAAAAAGAAATAAGCGACGTTCCTTTGCAAACGAAAATGTGGATGGATGGAGTCATGACAGGGGCATCCTCGATGCTCTCTCCAGATGGAAGCGTGGATGTTGCTCCACGCGAATCTGTATCCTGTGCAGGTTCAAGGTGGCAGAGTTCCAAAGCTGGACAATTAGCACAACCTGTGAGAACCTGCAAAAGAGCAACCTGTGAGAACCTGCAAATCGTCCAACTCGTCCTCTTTCTTGTTTCACTGCCTTGGTCAGTCTGGCCTCCTCGACCATATAAGGCCTAGACAAGTCCACGACCAACTGC